GCACGATGGCGTCGTGGTGGTTATCCGGCAGGGCTTCGCCAAGCACAAACGGAGGAGGAGAGGTGTTGGAGAGGGGGAGGGATGCGCCTTGGATGTGGTGCGGCTGCCCTCCCTCCTCCCCTCTATTTATAGGGTGAAGGGGGAAGGGGCCGACCCCTCTAGATGAGATCTAGAGGGGGGCGGCGGCCAAGGGGAGGGGGCTTGCCCCCCAAGCCAAGGGGGGCGCCCCCTTTAGGCCCCCCAACCCTAGGCGCATGGGCCCTAGGGGGTGGCGCCCAGCCCACTTAGGGGTTGGTTCCCTTACACATACAACCCATAGGGCCCTCCGGGGCAGGTGAACCCTCCCGGTGGACCCCTGGAACCCCTCCGGTGGTCCCGGTACAATACCGGTAAACCCCCGAATACTTCCAGTGACCGTATGATGACTTCTCATATATAAATCTTCACCTCTGGACTATTCTAGAACTCCTCATGACATCCAGTATCTCATCCGAGACTCCGAACAATATTCGGTAACCACGTACAAATCTTCCGTATAACCCTAGCGTCATCGAACCTTAAGTGTGTAGACCCTACGGGTTCGGGAATCATGCAGACATGACCGAGATAGCTCTCCGACCAATAACCAACTGCGGGATCTGGATACCCATGTTGGCTCCCACATGTTCCACGATGATCTCATCGGATGAACCATGATGTCGAGGATTCAAGTAATCACGTATACAATTTCCTTTGTTAATCGATACGTTACTTGCCCGAGATTCGATCGTCGGTATCCCAATACCTCGTTCAATCTCGTTACAGGCAAGTCACTTTGCTCGTTCCGTAATGCATGATTCCGTGACCAACTACTTAGTAACATTGAGCTCATTATGATGATGCATTACCGAGTGGGCTCATAGATACCTCTCCGTCATACGGAGTGACAAATCCCACTCTCGATTCGCGCCAACCCAACAGACACTCTCGGAGATACCTGTAGTGCACCTTTATAGCCACCCAGTTACATTGTGACGTTTGGTACACCCAAAGCATTCCTACGGTATCCGGGAGTTGCACTATCTCATGGTCTAAGGAAATGATACTTGACATTAGAAAAGCTTTAGCAAACAAACTACACGATCTTGTGCTATGCTTGTGATTGGGTCTTGTCCATCACATCATTCTCCTAATGATGTGATCTTGTTATCAGTGACATCCAATGTCCATAGTCAGGAAACCATGACCATCTGTTGATCAACGAGCTAGTCAACTAGAGGCTCACTAGGGACATGTTGTGGTCTATGTATTCAGACATGTATTACGGTTTCCGGTCAATACAATTATAGCATGAACAATAGACAATTATCATGAACAAGGAAATATAATAATAACCATTTTATTATTGCCTCTAGGGCATATTTCCAACAACATCCACTATGCTAAAGAGCAAATTGATTCATGTATTACAACTGAATCTTCTTATCATATTATTTATCCATTCTATATTCAGATCATGTGTAATGTTTCTTAATTGTATTTGACATCATTTTTCATTTTGTTTCAGATAAAAGCAACCCACACGGGCACACTTGCCCACCTGGAGGGGGAAAGGACAAATCTAAGCTTGCAAATGTTAGGTGTGTGGCAGATCCGCAGATGCAATCTTGGATTGGATGAGGAAAACACCAACAATTGGTCCACCATCACTCTATGGGAAGCTATTTGAGAAGTACAAGATTAATATATCTTACATGCAGATTTTCTATGCTAAGGAAAGGGCTCTTGATAAGATTAGTGGTCCATGGAATGAGAGTTTCAGTTGCTTTACACCTTCAAAGCTGAAGTGGAGACAGCTGTCCAGGGAGTGTTGTAGAGATTGACAAGAATACAGTTAAGTACAAAATAAAAGGGAAGGCACGAGAAGGAGTACTTCAGGAGGGCTTTTGTTTGTTTCAAGGCTTTCTGGCAGGGGTTTCTGAATGGTTGTAGGCCCTATTTGACTGTCGATGCAACTGCTTTGAATGGAAGATGGAGAGGCCAGCTAGCAGCAGCTTTTGCAGTTGATGGACACGACTGGCTATTCCCAGTTGCATTTGGTGTGTTGGAGGTAGAGTCCGAGGAGAGTTGGGTCTGGTTTGTGCAGCAGTTGCGCAACATTATAGGTACACCCTCATGTTTAGTTATACACATAGATGCTTGCAAGGGTTTATAAACTGCAGTAGAAATTGTATTCCCTGGAGTGGAACATAGGGAATGTATGCGACACCTAGCACCAAATTTTAAAAAGAAATTCAGAGGCAAAGTTTATGATGAGAACCTATGGCCAGCATCATACACATGCAGCTTGAGGAAGCACGAGCACCATTTGAGAGTGTTGTATGCTCATAATCCTTTGGTGAAGGAGTACATGGATGAACATCATGGAAAGTTGTGGTCAAGAAGCAAATTCAATGAATTCTACAAAGTAGACTATGTGACCAATAACCTCGCTGAGTGTTTCAATGCAAAGTTCAAGTCAATGAAAGGGCTTTTGTTGTGGCAATCATTTGATAAGATCAGGCAGATGATCATGATAAAGATGGCTCTTTGTAAAAGAATTGCAGAAACACAATATGTTGGCCATCTTATGCTCCCATCTCTTATTAAGGCATTGCATTCCAAGGCAAGAGGACTAAGGATGAAATGCATTCGACCGTCGACATACAAGGCTGAGGTGACATACACTGATAGTAAAAATAGGGAATGGAGATATCCAGTGAACCTTGCAACTAATGAATGCAGTTGTAGGCAATGGCAGATCCGCGGGAAGCCATGCATACATGCCCAACATCTCATGACTATTATTGGAGGTGAAGATGGTGAAGTTGATCAGTATTGCTCTGAATATTTCTCTGTTGCCAAATTTAGGGTTGCTTATGCTGAAAATGTGCCTGCACTCTTGGGAAAAGACCAATGGAACATAGTAGACCCAGGGTTCAAACTCGATTCTCCTGTATTGACTAGACCACCAGGAAGACCAAGGAAAAAGAGGATAAGAGCCGGTGAAGAGGGCCGCGTAAAAAAATAACATAAGTGCAAAAGATGTGGTATCCTAGGGCATATTGCTAGGCTTGTACCAATCCAGTTGATGCATCATTTGGAGAAGAGGAACAATGGGCAGAAGCAAATGCAGAGGAGAATGCAGCAACAGACGAGAATGGAGCAAGTTTAGAGGAGAATGCAGCAACAGAGGAGAATGTAGCAAGTTTAGAGGAGAATGCAGCAACAGAGGAGAATGAAGCAACTGAAGTAGCAGCGAGGTACGTGTGCAACCTTTCCCCTTTTTGCATTTGTTCTATTTTTCATCAATGGCTAAGCTCAATTTGACCCAGGTTATAGGTTAATTAGAGGCACAGGACAGAAAAGACCAAGAGAGGAAGAAACTTCATCGGTTGAACCATCATCTGATGCAGAATTTGAAACCATGGCTTATGAAGGTTTTCAAGCTATAAGAGAGGAGGAAGTTATTTTGTCTGAAGTTACTTTAAGGATTAGTGAACCCACAGATGACTGTCAAGTGGTCATCACTTGCTCGGTTAGTCACCAAAACCGCCACCACCAGAAGTGAAGATCAGAAGCAACAAGACAAAGCTTTCAAAAGCACGAATCATCCCAGCCAGGGAAACCAGAAGCAAGACGGTTAACCCATCCCGGAACACAAGGAGCAAGGCAAAGATTTGAATTTGAACTTGAATGGAAGTCATAAACTTTGAACTTTAAGGATTTGTAATAAGAATTCTGTTGTCAATTTGAACTTTGAACTACTGCGAAAACTTGTAAGGTGTAATAATTATATTTGTAATTTGATGTGAAATTTGAGGTAGAATACAAAACTGAGGCAAAATTTGAATTTTAGGCAAACTTTGAATTTGAACCAACACTTGAAGTCCATTCCCGTGTGGTGTGAGCTACAAAGTTTGCTGAACTATTATAAACGTTAGGTGATCAATTCAATCTTGCTGGTAAAACTTGTAGTCATGAGAATGTGCTCCAAATGAGCTCCCAAGATAGGGTAAACAACCCCATTTGTAATCAAGTTTTTTTCGACCTACTCCAAATGAGCCGAATATATTTTATTAACACCTATTCAATCTATATAGTGTAGATTCAAAGAATCACTATTTATTGAATTAATCTTTATATTTTTACAATTTTTCTGAAACAAATATACTTTAATAGAAAACCATTAAAAACACGTATAAAATATGAAAATGGAAAACTAAGTTTAGATCCTTCTTATTCACTTTGAAATCAAGCTTTGGTGTTTTTTTTTTAATTTTCAAAAACCGAAGGGAACCCTACCTCCTCTCCTTGGTCTCTATGAAATGTTGTACATGATAGCTCATATGTGTGAAGGTTTTTTCATGAAAATGTCCATAGACAAAGTTTAAGATTTTTGGTGGGTAACATGTCACACAAGACAACATTGTGCGTAGGTTTTATATTTTTTTGATTTTTTTAAATTAATGGTGCTCATTTGACCTCAATCTTGCTAGCTAGGTTTTTTCTATGAATGTCCGTATACCAAGTTTAGTATTTTTCCTCGTTAGTGTGTCTTATAAAACGACGATTGATGAAGGTTTCATATTTTTTCAATTTTTTTAAAAAATAGTTATGCTCAGTCAAAGCCTTGGAAACCCCGTTGACCAGCTCAAAACCCCTCTAAACCCCGCGGGGTTTCACCTAACCCTAGCTCCAAATGTCAGCCGTCCGATCATACCCTAGCGCCAAGCGACAGCCCTCGGATGTGGTCTTCTAGAAGGAATTCCAAGGGCAGGCCGCGTGCAGGCTCCATGCCGTTGGATCACATGGACGGCTCCGCATCGTTGGATCGTGGGGCGATCCGCGAGACTTGTTGGTTGTGCCTCCCCTTTCTTCTGCTGCTTATTCTATGGCGACGAGAGGAGCCACTCCTCCTCTGCTTCTTCTTCTCCAGCGACGATCATCGCCACTCCTCTGCTTCTTCTTCTCCGGTGACTATGGGCGATATGTCGAGCTCCACTTCAGCCTCCCGCCCCTCGTGGACCCAGTATGGTCCACTTCCCATGGAGCGATGTCCTGACTGCCCACGCAGTGCGCCACTAATACGGTTGGCTTCGAAGGAGGTCAAGAATGGCAACTATGGGCGTGAGTTTGTGAAATGCGACAGCAAGCCAGAGGGGCAGGTTAGATCTCATGATTTTTCTCTGATTTATTTTTCTATTTGCTTTTAATTCTTTTTTGATCTGGGATTTAGGGTTCATGTTTTCGTTTCAGATCATGAAGAAATGCACACATTTTGAATGGCTGGATGACTATGTTAAGCGGATTCAATTCAATGGGGCCCCAACCCGGGAGCTCAATCTGCTGTCAGCACCAACGAATTTGGTCTCTGAAAGTGTTGCTCTGACAGTTGGGGATGCAGATCTGAAGGGGGAATTAAAGAATATGAACAAGAACTTGAAGTTGATGATTCAATTGAACAAGCAGGCGAATCTGATAGCTTTAGGATTTTATCCCCTTTATTTTTGTGTAGTTGCTCTAGGATTTGCTTACTTGCTGGTCATCACTCGTTAAAGATGTTATTAGTGTGGTGTCATGTGCTCTAGGATTTGGTTAAATTTGTGGATCATGTGATATACGATTTGCTTAAATCTGTGGATCATGTGTTCTATGCTCTGTGTTGCTTAATTTGTGGATCATGTCAGTTTTGTACACTTTTAGTTTCTTCAGTTTCGTCAGACAACATCGACCGCAGAAGAAAAAAAACATAGTTCTAGGGCCCAAATTGAAACCCTTGAAACTAAGCTCTGGTTGGGCCATCTCATTGTGTTGAGTGTCGAAGTCCCACAAAGATAAAAAAGGCCTAGAAAATAGTGCATGCACTGGCTCTGTTTTTTCCTTGATTATTGCCATGGTAAATCAAATTATTGCCATGCCAAACAAAAATACTTCCTCCTTCTCAGTTTATAGGACATGCACGTAGTTTTAGGTTAACAATTTAACTAGCTAAATATGTATTATATGTGATGAAAAATATATGTTTAGAAACTACATCCGCTTAAGTATCTAGTGATATATTTTTGGTGACATATTACACATATTTAATTAGTCAAATCGATGACCTAGAACCACATGCATGCCCTATAAACCGATACGGAGGGAGTAGTGCATATGGTAAATCGATTTATTGTTGAACTTGCCCATGTCAAATTTATTTGCACATATTGTGGCAATTTCCTTCTGTATATAGCCTACGGCACAACACTTTGATTTTTGGGTCCCTTGATTTTTTTAGAGCATGTCAGACTTAATTATGTAGATCATGATATCCATCTGAAACCACGTCTAAAATAAAGTCTGGTGGCACCATTAGCCACCATATCCATCTAGAGAGCATGTCTAGGGATCAGCTACGACACCATATCTATCTAGAAAGCACGTCTACGGCTCAGCTACAACACCATATCCATCTACCGATATCTCACGTAGCAAGCATACATCCATAACATAGAAATTAGCAACCATAGCATACTTCTTACATAAAACATAGGGTGCCCTAAACCATAGCATATGCCACAAACTATACAAAAGTTAGCTTGTTTTGTTCATACAATATACGGAATAGGGCCACCAACAATTCAAAAAAATTAGCTGGTTTTCATTGAGGGATACCCTTTCATTGATTGATTTAGCAGAAGGGCTCGTGTACAGCACCATATCCATCTAGCGATATCTCACGTCAAATAAGATAGAAATAGCAAGCAAAACACAGATAACCAATGACATATCAAATAGGATCAAATAAGGGTAGCAAGCATAACATAGTTCTTAGGGGATAACACGACAAAGATTAAAAGTTCACGGTACAACCAACGACATAATAAGATAGAAATATATAAAAGATAAAAATCCCTAACACCCTAGGGTAAGACAAGCTCATGAGACCGAGCCTTCACCACTAGCTTCACTGCGCCTCCTCTTGACTGCTCCTCTTCTCCATGTCGTCCTGGCCAATGTAGTAGGGGAGGTTGTGCATACCGCCGCGGGTGCGAAAGATGCAGTCAAAGTTTGTGAAGATGTTGTGGGTTGTGAATGCGATGAATTCGCATCCACACCAAAACACCTTGCCGAGGAGGTAGTACGCATCAAATCTGTTGGTGAAGGTGATGGTGAGCCCTATCGGCGGTGTCCTGGAGTTTGGACGCACTTCCTCCAGTCGGAACATCACCGGCGAGCTCATCGAGAGGTGGGCGAAGCCTGCACAGAGGAACCACTCGGCAAACCGCCTTGCACCCCTCTAGTGTGAGAACGCCCACACGCGGAGCGTCCTCTCCATGACGAAGCCGACCGGATACCGTCTCTCCAGCATGGTTGGTGGGAGCTTGAAGGTGGGGTTGTTGTACTACATCCTCGCCTTGCTTTGAGAGTGCCCTGGGTTTGGTTGAAGAAGAGAAGGGGGCGGTGCAAATCGATGTGTGGAGAATAGGTCGAGGGGTGGTGGTTTAAATAGGGAAAGGTGAAGGGAAGGGGAGTGGCACCGGCCGCGCTTTGGATTTGCTACGTTCAAACGAGCCGCGTCGATCGATATGCCACTTTAATTGCCAACAAGTTTTAATTGCCATGTTGAATAGATGCGAGTGGATCGAAAAGTGTGAAACAATGATCTACATTGAGGAGACACGCGTGCGAGATGATACGAACTAGCGGCAGCAACCGTCCCTGCGTCCGTGCCGGCACACGTGAAAAAGAGGTCGGTCAGCGCATCATGGCGGCGGGCAGTGATAACCCACAAGTATAGGGGATCGCAACAGCTTTCGAGGGTAGAGTATTCAACCCAAATTTATTGATTCGACACAAGGGGAGCCAAAGAATATTCTTGAGTATTAGCAGTTGAGTTGTCAATTCAACCACACCTGGATAACTTAGTATCTGCAGCAAAGTATTTAGTAGCAAAAGTGGTATGATAGTAATGGTAACAGTAGCAACAATAAAGATAAATGTTTTGGGGGTTTTGTAGTAGTTGTAACAGTAGCAACGAAAAAGTAAATAAGTGAAGAACAATATATGAAAAGCTCATAGGTAATGAATCAATGATGGATAATTATGCCGGATGCGATTCCTCATGCAATAGTCATAACATAGGGTGATATAGAACTAGCCCCAGTTCATCAATGTAATGTAGGCATGTATTCCATAAATAGTCATACGTGCTTATGGAAAAGAACTTGCATGACATCTTTTGTCCTACCCTCCCGTGGCGGCGGGGTCCTAGTGGAAACTAAGGGATATTAAGGCCTCCTTTTAATAGAGAACAGGACCAAAGCATTAACACATGGTGAATACATGAACTCCTCAAACTACGGTCATCACCGAGAAGTATCCCGATTATTGTCACTTCGGGGTTGTCGGATCATAACACATAATAGGTGACTATAGACTTGCAAGATAGGATCAAGAACATACATATATTGATGAAAACATAATAGGTTCAGATCTGAAATCATGGCACTCGGGCCCTAGTGACAAGCATTAAGCATAGCAAAGTCATAGCAACATCAATCTCAGAACATAGTGGATACTAAGAATCAAACCCTAACAAAACTAACTTGATTACATGGTAAATCTCATCCAACCCATCACCGTCCAACAAGCCTACAATGGAATTACTCATGCACAGCGGTGAGCATCATGAAATTGGTGATGGGGGATGGTTGATGATGACGACAGCGACGAATCCCCCTCTCCGGAGCCCCGAATGGACTCCAGATCAGCCCTCCCGAGAGAGATTAGGGCTTGGCGGCGGCTCCGTGTCGTGAAACGCAATGAAACTTTCTCTCCAATTTTTTTCTCCGCGAGACGGTATATATGGAGTTGGAGTTGAGGTCGGAGGAGGTCCGAGGGGCCCACGAGATAGGGGGCGCGCCCTAGGGGGGGGCGCCCCCCTGTCTCGTGGACAGGCCTTGGCCCCCCTGGCCCTGATTCTTTCGCCAAAAATTCTTATTAATTTTGAAAAGTCCCTCCGTGGATTTGCAGGTCATCCCGAGAACTTTTCTTTTCTACACATAAAACAACATCATGGTAGTTCTGCTGAAAACAGTGTTAGTCCGGGTTAGTTTCATTCAAATCATGCAAGTTAGAGTCCAAAACAAGGGCAAAAGTGTTTGGAAAAGTAGATACGTTGGAGACGTATCAACTCTTCCAAGCTTAAACCTTTGCTTGTCCTCAAGCAATTCAGTTGATAAACTGAAAGTGAAAAAAGAAAAGCTTTTACAAACTCTGTTTGCTCTTGTTGTTGTAAACATGAAAAGCTGGCATTCAAGTTTCAGCAAATATTATGAACTAACCATACTCACAATAACACACAGGTCTCACAATTACTCATATCAATAACATAATCAGCTAGCGATCCATAATAATAAAACTCGGATGACAACACTTTCTCAAAATAATCATAACATGATATAACAAAATGGTATCTCGCTAGCCCTTTCTGAGACCGCAAAACATAAATGCAGAGCACCTTTAAAGATCAAGGACTAACTAAACATTGTAATTCATGGTAAAAGAGATCCAGTCAAGTCATACCCAATATAAACCAATAATAATGAATGCAAATGACAGTGTGCTCTCCAGCTGGTGCTTTTAATAAGAAGGATGATGACTCAACATAAAAGTAAATAGATAGGCCCTTCGTAGAGGGAAGCAGGGATTTGTAGAGGTGCCAAAGCTTGATTTTAAAATAGAGATTGAATAACATTTTGAGTGGCATACTTTTGCTGTCAACACAACACCTATGAGATGGCTATATCTTCCACACTAAATGCATTATAGGCAGTTCCCATACAGAATGGTAAAGGTTTATACTCCCCCAACCACCAACAAGTATCAATCCATGGCTTGCTCGAAACAACGAGTGCCTCCAACATACAACAACCCTGGGGAGTTTTGTTTAATTATTTTGATTTGCTTTGATCTTTTTGGATCATGGGACTGGGCATCCCAGTTACCGGCCCTTTCTCGTGAATGAGGAGCGGAGTCCACTCCTCTAAGAATAACCCACCTAGCATGGAAGATATAGGCAGCCCTAGTTGTTATATGAGCTGCTCGAGCATACAAAACAGAATTTCATTTGAAGGTTTGGAGTTTGGCACATACAAATTTACTTGGAACGGCAGGTAGATACGGCATATAGGAAGGTATAGTGGACTCATACGGAACAACTTTGGGGTTTAAGGAGTTTGGATGCACAAGCAGTATTCCCGCTTAGTACAGGTGAAGGCTAGCAAAAGACTGGGAAGCGACCAACTGAGAGAGCGACAATAGTCGTAAGCATGCATTAAAATTAATTCACACCAAGTACAAGCATGAGTAGGATATAATCCACCATGAACATAAATATCGTGAAGGTTGCGTTGATTTGATTCAACTACATGCGTGAACATGTGCCAAGTCGAGTCACTCAATCCATTTAAAGGACGATACCATCCCATCATACCACATCATAATCATTCTAATAGCATGTTGGCACGCAAGGTAAACCATTATAACTCATAGATAATCAAGCATGGCACAAG